GCCCCCGTCCCGGGGCAGCCTCAGGCAGCCTCTGAGATGCAGGCTCCACAGGCCCTCCAACCTGGGCACGGTGGTGTTCCCGCTGACACCACCTTGGTGTCTGTTCTTGTGTCTGTTCCAGGTCCTGTTTCCGAGCGGGTCGGCCAATGCGCTGATGCCGCCTTGGTTCCGGTGCCAGCATCTGTGCCTGACCAGCAGCTCCAGCAGCAGCAGCCTCTGCCGGTTCCCCAGATGGAAAACGGTGACGTCCCCTCTGATGCCAGACAACAGTGTGCCGACAACAGTGTCCCCGCCAGGGCCCAGGGCAATCAGTGTGCCACCAGTGGGAAACCACCAGCCAGGGCCTTTGCTGCAGTTCCTGCTCCTGAACGGGTCGGCCGGCGTGCCGACACCGCCTTCAAGCCTGTTCCTTGTCCTGCACCTGAGCGGGTCGGCCGGTGCGCCGACGCCGCCTTGGTTCCAGTGCCTGCATCTGCGCCTGACCAGCAGCTCCAGCAGCAGCAGCCTCTGCCGGTTCCCCAGATGGAAAACGGTGACGTCCCCTCTGATGCCAGACAACAGTGTGCCGACAACAGTGTCTTGTATGGGTTTTTGTTATTGTTAGTTCTCTTAATAAAGAGACGGTTTTTGTTTTACACTTCCTCGTCTCGCCATTTAATTGAGTTCACAACACTTTTCGGCCGCATTACGCGCGCCGATTCTGACAGACTGATAATGAAAACGAATGTTAGGTGCAGGCTATTCCGAACAGTTAAATACAACTACAGGTACAAATGTGAAAATGTGTACCCTATTATATTGCACTATTTGAAACCGCTAAGACTCACAAACCCTTTAATCTCAGATGTACCTAAAGTAATGTAGTAAATAAATATACAGTATATGAGTTCTGCTTTTACACATTTTACAGGTATGTTTTTTTCTTCACTAGTATTGTGATGTACTGTCTTGCAAAATGCTGCCTGTCATAGATTTTTGTACTGCAATACCATGGCTGGCAACTTGCTCTTACAGTGTTTCATCACCTGATACTCTCTGATTCCCAGGCTTACAATAATTTAGGGTGTGGTCCAGTGCACACTGACTCACTACTCTGTGGAGTCAAGGAGCTGGTACTCGCAGCGGCGACTGTAACAGATCCGGATTCCCGAATCTGACCAGAGGCGGCGGATTGCATCAACGTGGGCCCGTTCCAATTGGGTGACCTGCACTGTGTCTACATCCGCCAGCCACTTGCTGTATACCTGAAAGGGAAATGTGGGCATTAAACTGAGTCATGCTTCCATATCTGTGCTGTTGTTTGTAGTTTGTGACTGAGTTCATGTATAAGTATAGCCCCAGTTTGTGGCTCTCATGTATTACATACACTGGAGTCACAGAGATAAATCCTCCCTTAACCTGCAAAATTGAGACTTTACCGTTTTAACCCCGTACCATTATTTCATAGAGTAACACTCACCAAAGGTATTTCCCAAATCGCCATAAACCCTTCTAATGATGCGGAATCATAAATCATCCAATCCAGCCCAGGAAAAATATAATTTTAGTCAGTTTCTCAGCTAAGCCAACTTCCTTTCAGTTAAGCAAAGATGGCAACACGAAATGACACCGTCTTATTTTCTTTTTTTTGTGAAAGTCATGCCCAGTTAATGGTAGAGCTGCTTTCACACAAAGCCAGAGTGATTACATCATTTCCTGTCACAATCTTTGTTTATATGAAACAAATGAACATAGCCAAGAAGCTGTTTAACTCATTAGAACAGTTTATGAGGGTTTGGGGAATAACCTCAAAATTTAGGTGTGCGTTATGAAACAGGGTTAAAACAGTCAGAAAGTCTCAGTTTTGCAGATCAACAGAAGATTACCTCTGTGATTTAGGTGTGTGTAATACATGAGAGTTACAAGCTGGTGATAGTGTAAGTAGTTGGGTCATGTGTGTCTGTGTACTGTATGTACGGGAATAAGGAGTACCTCGTTTTCTGGGTTGGAGTAGGGGATTTTAAGCATGGTCATGGCTCCTGTCATGGCTTGGATGGCTGTGAAGATGTTCTGGAAGATACATTTGGCGAAGGCCTTCCTCTCCTCCTCTGAGAAACCTCGTCCGTGGATAATCCTCATCTGTCGGATGAAAGTGGTTTTTCCACTCTCCCCAGTTCCTGAAGGAAGAAGCGAGAAAAATATGAATTACCAAAAGAACTTACAAGTATTAGTAGTACAATTCTATTAACAGGGCAACTCAGAGATTAGCACCTCCACCGCTCACCTTTATGGACTTGGATTTGAACCAATGTTTATTAATCCAAAGACACACAGACTGACAACTCTCAAATGCCTGTAGGTGTGAATGGGTTTGTCTAGCTAGATAAGTGAACTGAACTGGATAAGGGGTTTATAAAATAGATAGTACTGTTGCCTCAGAACAAGAAGGTTCTGGGTTCGACCCTTGTGGCTGACCCTCTGCAGGATAAGAGGTATAGATAATGGATGGATGAATAAAACTGATATATATCAAGGGATTTATTCAACTTTAAAGCTGTACCGAACAGTATTAACAACTGATCAATGAACCAACACTGTGTTGCTTCCAGTGACTAACCCACAGACAATTATCACTCAAATCTCCAGTTTCCTCAGCTCTGCAGAGCATTTCAGTATTTTTCAGCTCATTGTTTGTTTTATGTTCTGCAACTTTAATGTTGTGTCTGAGTGCTCTAGTCACCCCTATTCTTTGTCTATTCTGTTTTCAACAAAAAGGCTCTGATAAACAAATGTGCACTATACCTGCCCAGCCCTAAACGCCAAAGTTAGCAACATACTGAACATACTGGACTTATTTTTATTGTCTGGCCAGAGACTCGACTGTGGATTGGTATGCTCTAAGAACATAATTAGTTTTAACTGTAATCAGTCCAAATAGGTCTTAAACCAAACAAAAATGTAAAACTGTAGAAGTGTGTGTTCATTCAACCCTCTGCAAGAGGACACTAAAGCTCTTTCTTAGTTACGCTGCCTAACACTGTAATTTCTCACCACTACCTTTCAAGGAATGGTATATAATCTTCGCCACAGGCGTTGCTGAAGGAAAATATTTAGGATGCTTTATTGACAGTCCTGTTCTTGTACACTCACACAGTGACAGAGGAAATAAGCCCGGGCAATAATTCAATATTATTGTTTACTGTCTCTTCATATCGTTGCAGAGTTTCCCCCCAGGAAATTGTTTATCTGAGGTGGTAAGCATCCAAGATCCTGATACAGCTTATCTTATCTTCCATTTAGTTAGTGGTTAATATACTAAACCACCATTTATCATATAAAACAGTGCCTCTGATCTTTTTCACTGAATGTTTAATTTTAAGAAAGTGTATTGCAACGCAGGAGGTCTTTATTTTAGGCAGGCTCGCCCACCTTCACAATAAAACAATAAAACACTGCAAGAAACCGGGTGTGCAGTTGTCATATAAAGCTTCTGTGGTTCACGGCACTAATGTAAAGACTGATTCATTGATTAGTCAGTCTAATTAAAAGCAACATTTTTGATGTGTGATTAAACTTAAGTCGTATAACAGTAAAAATGTCAAATACTCCTTGGTTCCAGCGTTGAATTCACTGTACATTTACCATCTATGAGATTTGGGTTTTTGGTTGGACAAAAAACTATTCACTAAGCATTAAGGAAATATAGGATTTTATTCTGTTATAACACAAGAAAACCTATTTTATTCCAATGAACAGCAGTTCTACTTTATACCATGTAATTTGAAATACTTTTTTACATAACAGTGTTGACAAACTGCACTAATTATTATTTGGATTTAAATTTTATCTATATTCCCCTAAAATAAGACACAATGGAAATATTTCTTTTACAATATCACCAATTAAAAATTGACTTTCTGTACCTTCAGTGTTACAACTAAAAAAGAAAAACATTGCAGGTTCATGTTTGGCAGAGTAAGTTTTTCTTAACTTATGCTGCAAATCTCACTAATTTTCCTTAGTAAATAATCTGCCAATTGTTTTCTCAATTAATCAGTTAATTGTTTAGTTTATCCCAGTTCCTACCAGTATGCTAGTACCAGTATGATGTCTTTAAATTGCTTATCTGGTGTTCGGATTCTGTGTGTGTGTGTTTGTGTAGAAAGCATAGGAAGCCTAGAATCAGTTGTGCCAATACATTTTCTAGATAAATCAGCTAATAGTTTCGGCTCTAATTCCAGCACAGTGTCCCTTTATTCCTACTTTACCGTCCATTAATAACCTTTGCATGGCAGCTGAGTTTATCTGACCTCATGGAAGCATCAAAGCAAAAGCAGCCCTTCTGCTAATCAGGTCTGAAGTCACCAGGCCTGCAAGTTTCTGGCCTGTGTGTGTCCAGCTTCTGTGGTTTTCAAGTATAGCCAATCCCAGTGTGGATCATTCCGTACATACTCACATGGTGACACATGTCTCACATAGCTGTGTCACTCAGTTACAGGCTACCAAACAGGCCAAGCAGTTTTAATTTGTATGCAGGGTGTTGCTTTAAGTGTCTTCTCCGATTTCTGTCATCCAGTGTCAGTTTTATTTTCCTATTTAATGCATTTGGTAAAAATCATTTTTGATGCCATTAGCGGCCTTATCCTGTTTATCCTGTTTAATGCCAGAGATTAACAAACAGCTGTGTGAGGTGCTGTGTGCAGTCACTGACCCAGCAGGAGGATTTTAATTTCCTTTTGCTCCTTCTTCTTCTGCTGCTTGAGGATCCTCTGGATCTCTTTGTGCACAGCAAGGGTCCTCTTCTCCTCCTCGGACAGACAGCACAAGCAGGTGCGGTGGCACCACAGCCAGCAGTCTGCCATGGCTATAACCACTGAAATGAAACTGTTAATGAATAATCAGTTGTAATGAACCGATAAGAAGTTGCAATAAACTTGTTGTCAAGTTGCCATGCCAGTTGATATCAATTACTTTTTACTTCCTATGTAACTCTGGCCTGTCAGGATTTATTCTAACACACCCTTGGTCCCCTGGAATTCTTCCTTTGACGCTAGGAACATAGTCATTGCCTACAGTATGTCAACTGGTCACAGGTAAACTTTAAATACTGTTTCATTTTTACAGTGTAACAGGAGCTTTGCTTCTCATGAGCTTACAGTGTTTCTAAAGTGTTCACCTGGCTGAGTCATTTTCTGTCAAATCAGGCTGTTCATAAGAATTTGGAAGTTCCGCACTGAAAACAATCGAAATCCTTACCTCCAATCAGTGTGTCACACTCCCTGAAAACGAGAAGGTACAAACTTGGATTGCTTTTCACGGTCCATTTATCACCGTGTCCCCCGTCCTGTCCAACTGGGGCAAAAGGCTGTCCGTTACTCTCGCAGAGTCCGTAGCCTACACTGAAACGTAGTGAAAGCGCTGTTTTCTCAGCCCACAGCGAAACAACCTGCAGCTCGGGAAAGTCCACCGCACCTTCAGAGGAATGTGTCGCCTCTTTGATTCGCAGAAAACTCTCTACAATTGGTATGCGCTTTGGGCGACGCTGCGACAATGGAGCGGCAAAATACTGCAGCAGCGCCGGAAGTTGTGACTATTATACCCATAAAATAAGAGCATTGTTGCTGCTAATTTTGCACTGTTCTTGTATAATTGTGCATAAAATAAACACTTAGATGATGGTAACGGAGTGAATTTGCGTTTGACTAACCTAATAAGCAGAAAATATTTGAAAACACTCCCGTGGTAGAATGTAGCCTTATTAGTTAGATTTATTCAAGTAGTGCACCTATTAGAACAGTTTTTGATACTTGTCATTTATGCCGTTTTATGTTGTATTAAACTTTTAATTAGCACATTATTTCAGCAAAAGAAACATATTACCTCATGGCAGAATATTGCAGATATTGCATCACCTGAGGCCTGGAACACCTGTACATGGCCTTTTCAGGTACAAGACCTGTACATGAAAAGTAAAGTACTGTAGGCTATGATACTTTATTGATATTCTGTCTGGTATCACTGAGTCTCGCAAAACTGAGTCAAATAACAACAACAAAAATAGTCATAAATAATAACATTTTTACCTTAAATTTGAGATTGTTTTCCCAAAATGCATATGGCAGAATTAAACAGGACTGTAAAAAATGACATTATTTTTACATTTGTCTATGTTGCAACAGCAAAACCTTGGGCCTAATCAGAGAAGAGTATTATTTTGAAAAGGCAACAACGGAAGCTGAATTTCACTGCACAATGATGGCTTATGCTGCGCTGCGAATAGAATTTCGGTTGCTGCCTGAGCTCCACTGCTCCGTGTTTCAGATTGTGCTGCACCGAAATCAGGGGCCACTGGATTAACATTGATGATTATTTAATATAATGTTTCTGAAAGTTTCGGCTTCACATTTCTCCAGGCAAAAGCAAAGATGTCATCTTAAACCGATTTAACTTGACAACTTTATGATCAACTTAAACTTTTTATCTGAATAATGCTGGTCCTTATTGTCCATTGGGAACATTTATTAGTAGATCTTAATTCAAAATATTAAACTTTTACCAGGTTATGAATATATAATAACTTATATATAAAACTATACTAATCAAAACAATAAAATACTAAATATGGTGATCAAATAGAACATATAACACAACTGCATAGCACAAAGTCTTTATGAACTCATTACTGTGTACTACAAACGCAATATTTTTTGTGGTGCAGCAGGTTAGTGGCTTTTCTGAGTAGAGATGAACAACAAGTATTTTGTCACTCCTTCTCCTCCTCTGCTATTTGGATGTCAATCTTTTGTCTGAGCCAGCATAACCGGTTTGCCCAGGCTTTCATGGTCCCAGATATTGAGATCACCTGAGCTCTACATTGCCATAGGAACAAGGCGAGGTGAAAGAGCAAAAGAGGTGTGAACGAAGGGGTCTTGTCAGTAAAGTAAGAAAAGGTTAAAAAAAAACATGATGCATTTTATTTTTACAAAGGTGTTATTTTTCTTAACAAGACCTCTTTACACATTTTTCATGTGCTTTGAAGCTTGCAGTATCTAGATTGTGTGTGTCGGTGTATTTTTATATTTGCTATATAGTGAAAACCAACAAAGTTTTTTTTGCTACAGAGTGAGCACATTTGTGTAAAGTGAACACATTTTGGCCAGTCCTCATTTTGTGAAACACCTTTTTGAGGTATAAGGCTTGGTTTTTGGGTTCGGGTTAGAATTAGGTTTAGTGTTAGGGTCAGGGTAAGGGTTAGAGTTAAGCATTTAGTGTTGATGGTTAAGTGTTAGGGTAAGGGGCTAGGGAATGTTTTATGTCAATGTCATACTCAAAGAGGAAGGTGGCAAGAGAAGGATACTAGAAAAACACAGAAGGAAGAAAGGAACAGTAATAGAGAATCCTGCATAGTAACTGTCATGAACTGACTGAAAAGTGAAAAAAAAACTCTGCCTACAGGAAGTTAGATATCTGTAGTCTTCAGATTCTTGCTGAGGCGGATCTCCACTAAACTGACAACACATTGTATAATTATGTGGACACTTCCTACATCTCAAGTTTTTTAATGAATCCTTACAGGCAGCCAGAGAAACAGATAGACCAGCAGGAAGAAGAGCGTAAGGAGAGGAGACTTTGTCCCCTGTCACCGGCTGCTGTGGGAAACAAAAGATAATCAATGATTAATCAGCCAACAGCCATCAGGCTGTATTCTTTCATGTCCATGTCACTTCTAACAACAATTAACACGTCCTGAAAAATGTTGTTCTGCTGGAAGCTTGTAAGCACCACTGTTCAAATTAAGATTTTGTATATTGTTTGAGCAATTGCTCAAACAACTACCAAAAAAGAAAAGTACCATAAAGAGACACACAGTGACTACAAAGAGATCGAAATGATCACAATGAGATAAAACTGCCAAAAAGAGACACAGAACAACAACAAACATTGCATCAGATCTGTCATTTTGTGTGTCCTTTAAGGAGTTCTGTGGAGGATGGGTGGGGGGCCTTTTACCTGTGTAAAAAAAATAATCATTACCTTAAAATGTCAAATAAAAACTGTATTTCCAGTGAAAATGTAATTGTATTTATTAATTAATTAATTTATTTTTATTAAAATATAGGAGTCACACAGAAGCATGACAGAAATTACTAAAATGCTAAAGAAATAAAACTAAAGGGGCACATGAAAACAAGAAAAGGTGTGACTGTGATGTTGTATGCCTAGGTGCACTTAAATAAAAATACAAGTGTATTTGTACATATAAGAAAGGTGAGAATGTACTAAAGTTAGTTATTTTTAAAGCTTTTTAAAGTATTTAAAGCTATTAAAGTTATTTATTAAAGCTATTTCAAATTAAAGATTAAAGGACTTGAACAATGATTTAGCACTATGTATAAAAAGAGAGTTTCTGTTTGTTGAATTATGTGGTAGACAGTTTCAATGAAAAGGGATGGAATTCATTTCTGTGGGTGGAGGCTCCTATCATGACTTGCAGCCCAGTGAGATGTGGGCTGGCAAGTCAGGCGGTTATGTCATGAGTCATGTCTGAAGAGTTTCCTGATCATACCAAGCATGCCAAGTACAAGTCTGCTGACAGCTGCAGCACTTCATTCTTCCAGGTAATATGTTGTGTCTTTTGGCATTTTAGCTTCAGGTTGGAAGTAAAACTGCAAGGAACTTTAGCCAACACAAATGTATTTTATTTCTAACCTAATTACTGAGATTATAGGGAACTTGAATTACCTGCATCCACACTCCAGAGACTAATGTACTCCAACCTTTTGAATAAATGCATGTGAAGAAAGATTTGAATGTGATTTCAGCTGTGTAGGTCAGACATCGTCCAACCTTTTGAATAAATGCATGTGAAAAAAGATTTGAATGTGATTTCAGCTGTTTAGGTCAGACATTAATGCTTGTAAAACATGGAGGTTCTGTCACAGTTCAAACACAGAGTACATCTTGGCCCATCAGGCTCAGGGGCCTGATGGGTCAAGAGGCCCTAGGTTAGAGCCTTTATATGAAGTGACTCTTGATATTTCTTGTTTGAAAGTCATAGAACTCAGAAAGTCTATGAATAGATGCAAAATGACCACAAACAGTCAAAACAACTACAAAGAGATGAAAAGTGATCATAGAAATACAAAAGTACTGCAAAGAGAAACAGAACTACCAAAAAAGAAAAGTACCATAAAGAGACACACAGTGACTACAAAGAGATCGAAATGATCACAATGAGATAAAACTGCCAAAAAGAAACACAGAACAACAACAAACATTGCATCAGATCTGTCATTTTGTGTGTCCTTTAAGGAGTTCTGTGGAGGATGGGTGGGGGGCCTTTTACCTGTCTGTGTCCAGGGGCCCAGTTTCTCATGAAACACTCATGAGTTCAAGACATAAAAAGCATTAGCACAGGTCTTGATGAGGTGTTTTATAGAACATCACTTTTGCACCTACATCACGCATCCACTAGATGTAGCTCAACTACACTGTCTGCCAAGCAACATCACACTGATTTGATTTGTGAACAGTGTGACAGAGGGGTTGTAATTTTATTGTGATGATGATGGCTCTGAACACCTGTGGAATAGTTTGCCTTTTGCTTCTGTTCTTAGCACCATCCTCTTCATCCTCAGTGCAATAGCAAAAGGGTGAAGCCCTGGTCAGAGAAGAATGGAATTTTCACTCAGCTGTTGTGGTGAGAAACAAACTTGTAACAAGTGCAGTTTTTTTTTATTTGAACAGTGGTGCTTACTTCTCCTTTATTTGATACTTGATCTCCATTTTCTGCTACTTAATACTCTTTCTTTTGACAGATCTGACAACTTTGGTTACTAGTTGGTCTGGAGATTAAGATTTTACTCACAAATGTTTTACAGATTAAACTCCCCAACAGTATATAGGTAAAATTAACTTCACCATCACCAGCTATGACACTAATATATAGCATATACTGTATGATATTCCTGTACACAATCTACAGTAATCCACAGCAGATCAGCCTCATCATCAGTGAGACCTGCGCATCCATGGCCAAGTCACCAGTTAACTGTTTGTCCTTCCTTAGACACTGTTGATAGGTACTAACCACTGCAGACCAGCAACACCCAACAAGATCTGTAGTCTGGGAGATGCTCTGACCCAGTCATCTAGCACCACAGGTTGGCCCTTGTCAAAGTCACTGAGATCTTTACATTTGCCCTTACACTTTTTCCTTCGTCCAACACATCAAGTTTGAGGACTGAATGTTCACTTACTGCCTAATACACTCCACACACTGACAGGTGCCACTAGAGGTGACAAGATAATCTGTCTTACTGACTTTACCTGTCAGTGGTCACAGTGTTATGGCTGTTCAGTGTATAATGCCATACTGCTCTGACAAGTATAGTTTTGCCTAATAACTTATCCTACAGTACTTTTACTTTTGATGCGTAATGTCCATTTCACTGATAACATTTCTATACATTTTGACTAGAGTATTTTACTTTTACTACATTTTAAGTCTCCAAATTACTTCTCACTTAGGCTTAACCACCACCAGAACTGGATATTTTACTGCTTAAAATGCAAATAAGTTGTGAAAAGTAACTGAGGACATTTGCTCAGGCAATGGAAACACTGAAGATCTTTAGTATTTTATTCTGCTATATTATACTCCATTACATTTCAGAGGTAAAATACTATGCTTGTAACTTCAGTATATTTATTTAACAGTATTTTGCAGATTAAGATTAATATTTAAATTTGATGTATATTAAAAACAACTTGGCCTATAGAGTCTGGACTGAAGTGACACAACTGCCCACATGTTACATAACTCAGGGTCATGACCATTCATAGAAAGCAAACAGTTGTGAAGCTGTTCTGTTAAATTTGCAATGGCATTAGTGTTTCTTTGACTTGATCCTATGTGTCATATTGCAAAGTAAATAGACTTTGTGTTTTGTAACAGCAGGTTTGCTGGAGAACATAAGACACTTTACCTGTTCTATAGCAACAGGAATGAAAGCCACATCAAATATTGACAGTATCTGTGATGCTGTTTTGTTTGTTGACAAAGTGTTCTTTTGGAGAGAAAGCAAGAGGTGATACTGTGGTACAAGTATATGCTCTGCTATTTTTCCTGTGTTTTCTTTTGTTAATTTTTGGTGCCTTTTGGACATGAAATATTGCAACAAGCTTTGTGAGAAATACCTGGTTATTTTAGTTGAGTGAAAGTACTAATAAAGCCATGTAAAATGTATTCAAAATTCTACTTAAGCAAGAGAAGCTTAAAGTACAAGTATTCCTTCTACAGAAAGATGTTGCCTGTGAGTGAATGTCACTTTCGGCTTTTTTCGTTTAGGGGTCGCCACAGCGAATCGTCACACTGACGACATGTTGACATTTGGCACGTGTTTTACGCCGGATGCCCTTCCTGACGCAGCCCTGATTCCAACCCGGGCACCGCTGCGCCTTAGTAACATACATTATTATTATAAATGAAAAATTATGGAAGAATCTTAATCTGAAAACTAACTAGCAACTATAGCTATACTGGAGTAAAATGTACAAGATTTTCCTCTGAAGTCTAAAATATAAATGTAGCGTAAATTCAAATAACTACCAGAAGTACCTCAACAACTGCAAGCTATTCAAGGACAGCAATTGATTGAATAAACTTTTTTTCCACCACTGCCTACGTGCTCTATCGATTTTTGAAAATGTTTATATGTGAACTTGCGTAATTTGTGGGCAGATGTAAAGATGAACGGAAACAAAAAGCTTCAACAGTCAACGTGAGATGTGTAATCTTTGACAGGAGATGGGCGTTGCCCGTTCAGTCAAATGTCAGTCGATTTCACTGACACGCCTCCAAAAGGAGCGCTTCCTCTCAAACAAACTTGAAAAATATCCAATCAGGAAAGGCCCACCTCAAACACCCACAAGCTCTTCTTTTATTCGCTCTACATCTATCAATCATTTATATCCCAAGCAACGTCAGCAGCAGCACCATACCGGGGCTGAAGAGTGGGTGACGGGAGCAAGCACCACCATCAGGAAAAAAAAAAATACCAGGAGCGATAAAATGTACGGACTACAAGGTTCCATTTGACTGTCAGTAAGACGTTTTCGCATTTTGTGGGTTCAGTCCTGGCGAGGTTTTTTGGAGAATACTAGCTCAATACAATGAAGGTCCACTGTCAGGCCGAGCTTTCTGTTTTTTAGCCAGTTGTCTGCAATTCCACGGATGGCTAGCTGAGCGAAAGTAGCTAGCTAACAATTAGCCTGTCCATTTAGCAATCCTGGTCACTGGGTGGGCTGCAGGCGGAAAACTGCTTTGAACGCAGCCGTGTAGCAGTGGTCTCATTAGGATTGGTAACGTTACAAAGGTTATCGTTCGTCGAGTGCTTTAAACAGTGAGCTAACCTGTGTTTATTCAGTAGATGGACAGTTGGACGGTCTCTCATTGTCAGTGCGCGGGCGTACAGTGTTGGTTTCGGGGCGGATAGGCTTGTACTCGGCCGGGCAACCAGCAGAGGGTTGTACAGATGTGGCAGCCAGTTGTGTTCCGCTGTCTCTGGGACCGAAGTTAATCATTGGAAATATAAAAGCGAATTCTTCACGATAGTTAGGCTTTCGGGCTGACCAGGTGTTAAGGAGGGAAAGGAAATAAAAGGTGCACACTGAAAATTCAACTTGACACGTTAGCTTGGTTAGAACGTTAGCCGCATTTAGCTTACAAGCTAGTTAGTGAGTTACCCAAACGAATTTCATTTATTTTGGAACGTGCATCAAATAAAATTATGTGCACCTTCGCCAGTCATCAAAGATGTTTGTGAACATGTTGCATGGTAGATATTTTGTGATGAGCTGTCAGCCCCTGTAAGTCTGAGTATTTGGGTAAGCTGTCAAATATTAGACACTTGACAGCAGTTGTACCGTTAACAAAGGAGGTTTGATTCTGCAGCAGACTATCAAAACTTGACAGTATTTTCCTTGGTTTAACTTATTGAAAACGGCCTGTTGCTCGGAGGGAAGGGGGTTTACTTATTTGACACTGTGTGACACTGTAGCCCGACGCCCCTTGTCAGACGGGCTTCTCGGCTCATGCGGTGATGACTTTAGACTTCATGATGGCTTGTTGCCTGAGTGAGGAGGCGAAGGAGTCCAAACGAATCAACGCCGAGATCGAGAAACAGCTCCGGCGGGACAAAAAAGATGCAAGAAGGGAGCTGAAGCTTCTTCTGCTAGGTAAGCTTTGATATACTGTCTCACATTGGTATTGCTGGGCACCTGCAACCCCCCCCTCACATACCCAAACAAACAAACCTGATGGTGCAAAAGCAGTTGATTTGATTTTATTATATGGGCTCAGCACTGAACAGGCCCCATTACCTGGTCACCACAGGATTTGACTGTAATATGATATGCAAATAAAAATGCAGATGTGGTTCAGATGGTATTTCCAGTCTAACGGGAGCTTGTAGTGGGAAAACTAAAAGCAGCTATGGAATTTAAGCACATTTATACTTTTTTTTTTTTTTTTTACTAAATTGCGCCAGCCAGCCTTTGGGGTATCTTCTTTTACTAGGGACTCATGTAAATGCTTGACAATCTTATAAACATGACAAGAGGACTACTCATTGCTTAGTAACAGAAGCAGGAGATTAGCTGTGGGTATTTGCTTAATGTCAGGTTAGTTTGGTTTGAGTTTTCTTTTCACTAATCTGTAATTCACAATGCCCTAATAGAAACTGTTTATATACAGTTAAGAAACATGTTAGTAGTCCTTTGGAAATCAAGACCTTAAGGTCATAGAAATTTGTGTGGTTTAAATGTGATGTTTGTTTGTAGCGAGTCAAAACCATCTGAGATATTCTGAATTATGTAGATTATAGTGTGACTTTGAAGTACTTCACAGTTAGTTGTCAGCCGTTCCTTCTTATTAATACCCTTCCTTTAGTTGTCTTACTTATTACTGTGGTTTTATCTGCCTGTAAAAACATGGCTTAAATGATGAATAAGGGTTGGTTTTAATTAAGTCTGCTACAAGAGAGACAGCACCCTCTTGGTATCTGCTCTAGAAAATGCCTTCACTGACGTGGCCTGCCCTGGGAAAGAACTGTTCTCCAGAGAATAGACCACAGAATAACTTTCACGTTTATTGAAGAGTACCAGAAACATTGTATTTTTCAATACTGGCAGAAAAGGCTTTTGTTTTGTTTCTTGCACACTGTAATAAAGTCAAAGTTTAGTTTTGGCTACAGAACAGCATCACTAAACCTGACAGGAATTCAGCATCATGCTAAAAGACACTTAAGTACAGGTGAATGAAATCACAATTTCTGATTTTAAGGATGCTCTCTCCCTTACTGTATCTGCAACAGTGTCTGACACCGAAAGAAATCCTAGCTCACAAGAAACAACTGTTTTGTTGTCTCTGTTCTTAACCAATTAAGCAACTATCTCTGTAAAGGGAGGTGCACTTGTTGAATGCTAAAAAAAAAAAAAGATATTCGTTAACATCAGGAGATAATAGACACACTGGAGTGTCAACAGCAAGTTGAAATGCTACGTTTGGCTCATTAACGCTACCGTATTAGTAGTCGAACTGCGTGCAAACAGTCTGCTGCTAATAATCCAGTTTCCCTGATAGATTACATGTTGGACCAACTGAAAAAAAGACATGCTGTCAAACTCTGAGCCAGACTGTAAGTACATTTGTGCCTTTGACATGTATCTCATTTATACAGTATTGCTATGTAATGGGTGAATGAGACTCGAACAAACTGCTACATCTCCTGCGTCTCATCCTGATACATTGAGTTCACCGGTCTATGTCGGGGAAGCAGCGGTGAGGGGGTGCCGTGGTCATATTTGCATGTATTTGAATATTCATAGATCCTGGAATTCACAATGAGGGGGCAAGTAAAAACTGTGACTATATATTGTTTATAGCTGAGTATTTTTATATGCCAATATAAATATTAAAATGTCTCTGGAATGGAACTTTAAGCAGAGGCAATAATTCCAGCAGCAGGCTGGTTTTCTTCAGTTGTTAGCTAGTGCATGGTCAACATGAAGGCTGAGGAAGAGCCAGGGTCAGAGGAGTGCTCTGCTGCCTGCTCTGTGGCTAATGAAAGTCACAAGTAATTAAATGTGTACAGCCAGAGCCTAGGGAGCTGCAGTAGCAAAACCAGATTTTGAGCATTCTACAGTAAATAGCTTTCTTTAGCCTTTTAAAGCTTTTGTTAAACTGCTAGTGTACATTTTTTTCATTACTTTTTTCATTTCCTGAAATTATTAGATGAAGTATACAGAGGATCTGATAATGAGCTAGCTTATGCAATGACGAGGGTCTGCCATTTATTAGCACTAAACCTCTTTGATATTGAATGTGATCTATTGGTATAGAAAGACCTTTTCTCATTAAGACAATATATTGTGACATACCAATGTACTATTTTATAGCAAGAAACATAACATACAAAAGTGAGGTTTCTTAGTTCAGCAAAGTAAGAGTTCGTATGTTGTCATAAGAACAATATGTTAACATCCAAGTAACAAGTATATTATGATGTTATAAAAGATGGTGTTAGAAAAATAAAAGTTTGTTGTGCCTTCTGGACTTTTCTGTTGTTAATCCATTGTTGACTGAAGGTTAAGTCAGTCAAATGAATGAAAACCTGTGAAATGTCATGCATTAATGCAATGCTGCACGCGCGCGCACACACACACTATATATATATATATATATACACACACACACACACACACACACACACAGTGCCTTGCGAAAGTATTCGGCCCCCTTGAACTTTGCGACCTTTTGCCACATTTCAGGCTTCAAACATAAAGATATAAAACTGTAATTTTTTGTGAAGAATCAACAACAAGTGGGACACAATCATGAAGTGGAACGAAATTTATTGGATATGTCAAACTTTTTTAACAAATAAAAAACTGAAAAATTGGGCGTGCAAAATTATTCAGCCCCCTTAAGTTAATACTTTGTAGCGCCACCTTTTGCTGCGATTACAGCTGTAAGTCACTTGGGGTATGTCTCTATCAGTTTTGCACATCGAGAGACGGAAATTTTTGCCCATTCCTCCTTGCAAAACAGCTCGAGCTCAGTGAGGTTGGATAGAGAGCGTTTGTGAACAGCAGTTTTCAGTTCTTTCCACAGATTCTCGATTGGATTCAGGTCTGGACTTTGACTTGGCCATTCTAACACCTGGATATGTTTATTTGTGAACCATTCCATTGTAGATTTGGCTTTATGTTTTGGATCATTGTCTTGTTGGAAGACAAATCTCCGTCCCAGTCTCAGGTCTGTTGCAGACTCCATCAGGTTTCCTTCCAGAATGGTCCTGTATTTGGCTCCATCCATCTTCCCATCAATTTTAACCATCTTCCCTGCCCCTGCTGAAGAAAAGCAGGCCCAAACCATGATGCTGCCACCACCATGTTTGACAGTGGGGATGGTGTGTTCAGGGTGATGAGCTGTGTTGCTTTTACGCCAAACATAACGTTTTGCATTGTTGCCAAAAAGTTCGATTTTGGTTTCATCTGACCAGAGCACCTTCTTCCACATGTTTGGTGTGTCTCCCAGGTGGCTTGTGGCAAACTTTAAACAACACTTTTTATGGATATCTTTAAGAAATGGCTTTCTTCTTGCCACTCTTCCATAAAGGCCAGATTTGTGCAGTATACGACTGATTGTTGTCCTATGGACAGAGTCTCCCACCTCAGCTGTAGATCTCTGCAGTTCATCCAGAGTGATCATGGGCCTCTTGGCTGCATCTCTGATCAGTCTTCTCCTTGTATGAGCTGAAAGTTTAGAGGGACGGCCAGGTCTTGGTAGATTTGCAGTGGTCTGATACTCCTTCCATTTCAATATTATCACTTGCACAGTGCTCCTTGGGATGTTTAAAGCTTGGGAAATCTTTTTGTATCCAAATCCGGCTTTAAACTTCTCCACAACAGTATCTCGGACCTGCCTGGTGTGTTCCTTGTTCTTCATGATGCTCTCTGCGCTTTAAACAGACCTCTGAGACTATCACAGTGCAGGTGCATTTATACGGAGACTTGATTACACACAGGTGGATTCTATTTATCATCATTAGTCATTTAGGTCAACATTGGATCATTCAGAGATCCTCACTGAACTTCTGGAGAGAGTTTGCTGCACTGAAAGTAAAGGGGCTGAATAATTTTGCACGCCCAATTATTCAGTTTTTTATTTGTTAAAAAAGTTTGAAATATCCAATAAATTTCGTTCTCTGGACAGAGATCTCAGTTGTTGTCCCGGGGATCTTTTGGAGCCACTCTCCCAGTTTGGGGGTCATAGCCCCCAATGTTCCTATTCCCACGGGGACCTCTTGTGCCTTCACCTTCCACATCTTTTCTATCTCTTCTTTCAGCCCTTCTTCCTGATGATGCTATTGCTTGGGGTTGCTACATCTACCACTGCAGCCTTCTTCTTCTGTTTGTCCACCACTACTATGTCCGGTTGGTTCGCCATTACCAGTTTGTCAGTTTGTACTGGAACTCCCACAGAATAGCTTAGTGATTAATACCACTGGCTTTGGTACGAAAGGTTGGGGGTTCAAACCCTGGTCAGGGCGTGGTCAGTATCCAGACTGGGCCCTTAATGCTACCTGTCTACCTCATTGGTGATTAGAGTTGTCAGTGCCCGTTGTGACAAGAGTCATACCGGCTCGTCGCCTGGGTCAACAAGGTCCGCATCAGGTGTTGAGAACCAGGACAACCTGATGAGAAGTGGGCTACTGGAACAAGAGCAGGAGCAAGACATTCATGTATATATTCAAAACAAACTCTATTGTTTAGTAAAGGGCTTTTTTTCATCATTTTTTTTTTATATCAAGATATTGCATTTTTTTTTTGTACCCTTAGTTTTTGAAATCATTTTTACATGTCCAGCATCTATGAAGCAACATTATCATTCATTTGGAGTCAAGTTTCTGGCCATCTGGTAAATGCAAGTCCAAAATCCACTCTCTTGTTAGGTCTGTTTTGGGTCTCCTGCCTCCTGAGGGAAATGCCTAGCTTTTTAGTTTCCAAATGCTCTAATATGTTCACCAGCTGGTTGTGAACATTGTCTGTTGCTTTTGAGCATTGAATGTACAGTGAGTAACTCCTATCATGTGCAGGTCACTATGTGGTCCCTCTTTAATCTATACTGTATTTTCATTACAGCTATTTCAATATAATGACACAATGTGTTCTCA